GACGAACGTCATAACTATTATTTTTGGAACCAATGAAACTTGTAGCCTGACGGAAATTACAAATTAATACGTTGAGAATTCAAAAAAGAAAATCTCATAATTAGCATTAACTATTAATTTACTTCGTGATTCATGGGCATTCGTAGTGTTGCATGAATTTCTCATTCCATAATTAGCGAATTCCATTCTCATTTATTTAACATTTTGTAATTTTCTAAGTTCCTGTTCGCTTGAATGGGTCAAATGTGGAGTATGGAGGAAGAGTGGAAGTATTTTACAAAGGTAAATGGGCAAAGATCTGCAGGAAAGGATGGGATTTTGACGATGTCAAAGTTATTTGTCGTCAACTTGGCTTTGAGGAGGCTTTGGCAGAATTCATTAGTTCAGACGTAATGGATGACGGAATTCCTTTTGTAATGTCAGATGTCTCTTGCAAAGGAGATGAGCCAGAACTTGCGTCTTGTGCTCGTATTGATGGAAAGGTTAACATCTCACCTCAATGTTTATCAGATGGCAAGGGTTCTCAGGCGTTGTGTCAACCAAGTAAGTAGTTCATTATAAAGCTCCAATCGTGAATCTGTTCTCTTGTGTTGTCTTTCATTCCCCCTTAGACCTTTAAGAGTAAAGAAAAATCAGGTAAAAATTCGGATCTATAGATGACCAGAAGCTCTTTTCTAAATAGTGCCTGTTGAAGTAAGGCTTGCGAAAAAACACATTAACATAAAGACTTAAGATAAAGATAAACACTTAAGATAAAGATATGACTCAGACTGGAGATGATATAACTTGGTTTGGGGTAACATGACTAAGCTTAGTGGGGATTTTACTTGGTCTAAAGTAATATGACTCAAGCGACTTAAGGTAGGGCTTAAATGACTTTTATGGTGGTATCAATGGTTAACGTTGTTTATTGGATTTCATGTCTTGGTGAGGAGTTACCTTGGTCTTTAAGGGGCCTCACAACTTTTAAAATTTGGATGTAACATAAAATGACAACGGTTGGCAAGATATTTGTGTGGAGTAATATAACTTAGATTAATATAATGCACGAAGAACCTAAAAATCTGTCAATTTAAGCATTGATATAAGTAAATAAATTCATCGTTTCTTTCTCTAGCTGTGATGCTATTTAAAATGAGATATCTTTTTTTATAACATCCTCTATCTGAACCATTTCTTGCAGAGAGCAAAAAGGTGTTGGAAAAAAAAGAACTTTATTTTAATATTGGCAGCAATGAAGAGCTTCGATGCTCAATACATAATGAAACCAGTTATGCAAGATGGACCATTAATGGTCAAAAGCTTCAAACAGTAAACTCTACTTCTCAAAGAATCAGGACTAAAGAAAATGGTGAACTGTTCATCGACAAAGTGCAGTTGTCTGATGCAGGATTATACGAATGCTACAGATTGGAATATGTTCAGTATTACATTGTCTACGTTAATGGTAAGAAAACACATCTTTTCAGCTTACAGAGATACAGGCATAGGCTAAAAATGCTGGATAATGACGGGTAAGATCAGTATACTATTGACCTTTTAACAGTACTGATATGATAT